GTGATTCAATGAAACCGAATATTACGGCAATATCATTGCGTCGATAACGGATTGATGAGGCACAGTAGCGCCACCTGCGCACCATGATCCATATTTTCTGTATCCGGTAGGAAGATGAATGTATTTGCCTTGCTTGAATGAACTTCATCTTGACCGGTTTTCATCATGTCGATGTTGTAGGTAATTCGGCTGCGCCCGTGTAGATTTCCAATGATGAATTCGGCCTTGACCACCGAGTCGTAAAACCATAGCTCGTTGACTGGAATTAGCTTGAATTGAGGTTGAACTGGGGAGTCGGCTGTTTTCAGTGAAACTCTGATGTTGTCATTGCTCCTAATATACCAAATATTCGTTATTCTGATTTTTCAAAGATTTGCACAAACTATGCTTAACGTTTCTTCCTAATATTTTTGCGTTTGCACACTTCTTCGAGCCCCGTTACTTTCGACTCTAAACGTTTTACGTCTGGAATAGGTAGATGTCTACTGAATCTCTGTGATGTTTTAAGCATATTTGTGTATTATATCTAGTCAATGGTCTTTTACACATTTTCCATACTCACTATGTGCTTCGTCTAGTAGTCTAAACATAAGTGCTTTCAACATTAAACTGCATTTCTAACAACTGAGTAGAATTCCAGAAAACCCTAGAAAACTCATAAAATGTATCAATATAGATCTGGGGTGGGCAACCCCTGGCAGGCGTGCCAACTTGGCACGCGAGCCCATTTATTCGGCACGCGAGCGAGGCCTCAGAAACGAGATCATTCTCTTTCAGATAAAAAGTTTCGAGGCTCTGATTTATCTGATGAAGCTCGGTGTTTGTTTATTCATTATCGTTTGTTAACAATCTGTTATTCATTTAAAATTTTAAACTCTTTTTGTCTTTTCATGACATAATGCTACAAAGAAATATATTATGACGTAATAACTGAGTTAGCTCTTTATGAATAGTGACGAGACACAGCATTCATTGGGGGTTCATTGTTACGTAATATATAGTCTGTGCCACCATTTTTCTTCATTTCTGATTGATTTATGAAGTTGTACAGCTCACGTTGGTTAGAGTTACCTGCTAACTTACTGAAATAAATTGATTTCGAAAGAAATCTAAGCAAATATAGAAGGGAATACAAGAGGGAAATGCAGAAAACGAACTATCGCGTGATTGGGAAGCCATTCCCGAGAATTTTTCGTGTCTCAAAAACTTTGCAACTGCATGTTTTTATCTACATATGCTTGTGACTTTCTGTTCTCAGTTATGAACTTTATGAAGTCTCATAACAGGAGTAGCCTGAAAGATGAAACCAGTAGTTCGTAACTTTTTTTCCATGTAAATCTCCATCAACGGCAATGCAGTAGCAGAAGTCTCTATTATATAGAAAAAGAAATGAAATCTACATGTTTAGAAGGTTTATTATTGTGTATTTTTGCTTTAAAAGTAACAAAATTGAGCTATAATAACCATCGGGGTGTGTAATTAGCTCTGACCCTCTCTCTATTAGGCACAAAGACCTAGAAATGCCTTTATTGCCAATTTATTTAATCGCTATTTTAAATCAACATTCAGGATTCACGCAATCGTAAATTCGCTAGGTTTATCTATCCAGTGCTAAAATAACACGAACACCATAGAAAAGCATGAGAAACTCAATTATCATTATAATAAATATCTGCATCTCGGTTACCGTTCTCTTTAAACAGGCACGGTTAATTTACAAGCGGTGATAAGAAAGATCAAATCCAAGGCAGAGGATAAAACTCAGAATAAAATTAATTTGGTTTTGAAATCAGCCCTTGTATTCAACAGCTGTCGCTGATGTGAACGCAAGGGTATACTAGAAAGATGAAATTTCGATATCCGGCGACCCCTTATTCTTGCAAAAAAACGACCAAGCGCGGGAATATAGAATACCAACTTTAGGATATCGCCGCCGAAACGATCACGGTGACACAGATAATCAGCGATTATGATGAAATTAACCATTAACCGGTAAAAAAACGCTTTATTGCCGACTTTTCAATGTTTCTATTAATTTCCAAATGGAGTATCGACCTCCGACGTTCTGGATCCCAGTTATGTATAAAAAATATTTATTGTTCAACGATTCGTTAAAAATATTCAAATTATTCGATTCGAAAAAAAAAATCGATTTTGCCCACCCTGGACTAACAGCCATTTAATTTGGCTTGATTCCTAATAAGTTTGTCAAAGAGGGTCATAATCGTATGGAGGATGCAAAGTGCAGTAGCTGCTTGAGATGATCGCCAGGTATTCCGGGACTATTTTCGATTACTGGAACAAAATTAAAATGCTCTAGAAATTTAAATAATCATTGAGTTATTTGATTTATTAATAATATTCGGAAATGCGACAAAAACTGAAAATCCACGAAAGCAAGCCAATGATTAATGCCAAAATCTTTCCAAGTGAAAAGTGTACGCGTGGCCGCGAAAACGCATACTGTTGCGTCACTATTGCATCTTGTAGATTAGTCAACACTTCGAAATAAACACGGGGGAATTCATTCGACTATCTAATAGACTTCCGCTTTTTAATTTCAAGTCAATGATTAGTTTTCAATGAAAAGTTTACTTCGAAAGTAATTAATTTTTAAAGCATTAACAACAGCCGAAGGAAAGGTTGCTGGGAGCCGCATGCGGCTCTCAACTCGTAATCAATATATATTGTTGAACAAAGAATTTTTTTCTTTTTTAGTATGTGTGCTGACAAAATGGCGTCATAATGACACAAAAATGTAATCAATTTTGTCAATCGGGCTGATTTTTTTAAACGCACAAACTTGACCAGATGGAGAGAAACGGATGTTATTTTCATATTCATCAGTGCCAAAATACCCCAAATCAGTTGCAAAAATCTAAACAACATTCGGAAAGTAAAAAATTGTTGGCCAGTGTAATCATTATACATAACCAACAACAGAAAAATGTTATAGTCCTGCATAGGATCTATCAAACTAATAGTGAATTTACTGAGACTGATTTTTATGTAAATGAAAAACGAATATTCATATTTACTTGTTAAACTATAATTACTTACCTACTTTTTATGATAAAATCTTTGGAAAGATATCATGAATACCGGTAATTAAACTTCAATAATAAAGTAATTAAATTCAAAAATGAGATTTCTATATTTTTTCTTTTTAATTTGCCCGCCTGATAACTTTAATGATGTTCTTTATAAACATCTCGAGCCCGAATGTTGCTGCTAAATGTTACTATTCGAACAATGTCGTTGATTCTTGCGTGCCTACTTTCAGATTACACATGAGGACTTTTTCATGCATGTTGAACTTTCAGTTGACAATCATTTACTTCCAAATTCGACGACTAACTTTATTAACAGCCAAAGTGTTGAAAAAACCTGTGACCTATTGAACGGAACGTGTAGACTGCTGGTATCGTGTTGATGACTAAGGTATGACTTAATTATAGAAGGGTGAAAAGGAGGGCGTGAGCATTCATTGATTTATAAATTTATTTATACAAGTGCTGTCCTTTTTTAAACTGTTTTGTGGGACCGAGGGTGTTGAAACAATATGTAAGCTCAACATAACGCAAGACTACTCTATGCAACGTAAGTCTTAAGTCGAGCTACGATTATTTTTAATTTCTAACAATAAACCATTTTCATTTTCCTGTTGCGTAAGACCATATTATTGATGGCTGCGTTCACTATTTTGCTGTTTTGACTTTTTTATATGTTGCGTTGACTATTCTGGTTTGACATTTGTCTTTCAAGGTTGCTTTTCACGTTCTGTTTTTTTTTAGTCAATGTCCAGTCAATTGTCTTTCAGGTTGTTTTGACCATTCAGTTTTTCTTGTCTTTCCGGTTTCGATGACCATTTTTGGTTTTCTGACCGTTGTTTTGCAGGTTGCCATTCTGAATTTTTTCTAGTCATTCTCGTTGACCATTTGTTTTTTACCCACTGTCTTTGTGGTTGCGTTGTTCATTCTGTTTTCTGAGCTATTTTTGTTTTAGGTTGCGTTGACCATTCTGGATTGTTTGTTAGACCATTTTGTTTTCCTGTCTGTTGTCTTAGGCTGCGTTGATCACTCTCGATTTTTCTGGCCATTGTTTTCAGGTTGTGTTGAACATTCAGTTTATACCAGTGTTGAGCTGTAGCCGGAACGCACCGGAACGGCGTTCCGTTTGTTGGACATTTCATTGCATTTGCTGTCCTGTTGTAAAAAATAAAATTATTGTGCAAAAAGTCCAATTTCTCTGGTGAATCTAGATATTAATTTATGTTTTGTTACATCATAATTCGTAATTTTTTTTTACATCACATCACGCAAATACTGTAATACGGTCTGTCTAGTATGTAAAGTAAGTGAGTAAGTACAAAATTTTCACTGGATGGTATAAATCGCTTTTTTATAAACTATATTTTGTTTCGTATAGATACGGACAGAATGCTCCTTGACTGGGGTAGTGATGTCAATCATTATGCGACAGGCAAAAATTTGGGTACTCCCGTAATATGTGAACCAAGATTGCGGACACCGGAACGTAGTATGTGTACCATGTTAGGGTTAGGCCATAATTTTAGGTACAAATACTACGAGTGTCACTTGGCTAGTCCCCAAACTCGTGATAAAACTAAAAAAAATTGGAATAAAATTATGGTCTAACCCCAACCTGGTACACATATTATGTTTCGGTGTCCGCCATCTTTGTTCACATACTACAGGAGCGCCAAAATTTGTTATCGGAGCGTTTTATTGTCCTATTTTGCAGGGCAGGGCTATATAATTGGTTGTCACTCGTTATTACAGACTTATACTCCAATTCAAAGACTAGTCTTTTAAAGTTACACATGTAACAAAGTGACCACCAGCACAGTCACAGGTTGAAAAAATAGAAATATTCTTACTCCATTATATTTTATTATTCTTCATGTATTGGAATTATAATCTACCGATTAGAATACTGAAATTAGTTCAAACAAAGGCGTAGAAAACTTTGACACATGTAGTTAGTTCTAAGTTGATTTTCAGAGTATAGGAGGAATATTTTGCCAGTACGCAATTTGATCTAACGAAGTGGCGCTGATATTAATGATAAAGCCTATCGAAGAGCTACCGTCGTAGAATCTTGAATCTGAAAATTATACTACGCCACGACGACCAACTGCTGTTCAGATAAAGACTGGTGCATGTAAAAATTATTAATCTATGCGTTTTATTGGTTTAGTTTGTAGCGCATGGCTATATTGTATTTTACGGACCATGGGGTGCACTTCAAACTCCTTTTTCCGCAACCGATTTTGGGCATAATATATACGAGCCAGGCAGTGCTTTCATGCTTTATTGGCTACACTCAGAACCAGTACTCTTATTGCTTTAAAAACCGTTGCCTCTTATAGCTCGATCCGCTTTGTGTACGAATTAAAAACCTAAGAAATTTGTTGACAGTAATACAGTGCGCTTTATGTTCCGTAAATATGGTAACTTTTGTAATACTCCACACCGCAAACCTCATATGAGCGAAGTAAGAAGAAACATATCGCCGCATCAAAACCAACCTAGCTTATGTTACCTTTTTAGGAATGGACTTCTCCCTGAGCATCTATCAGTATAGACCAGGAGCCATCTTTTGGTCTACGTTTCAGAGCTATACGGAAAGCTTTAATTACGGAATTCACGAAAAAATATTTTCACGGAATTGAATTTGCATACTCATTTTTCTATGGAATTTGGTGGGCGAGAATGACTAGAATATTTACTGTGGATCACCGTTTAAAAGATATTGGGCTACACTGCGGTAGAGAGTTTCCTCTCTACAATATGTGCCGCTACTAGTAGTTTAACAGTTCATTCGTTTTTAGGTTGACGTCTTTCCTAATTTGTCTTGTAGCCGAAGGCGCTTAATCAGGCGAAAATGCTGGATGACGTGTTTCTACGTTAACCAAAACACAAATATAATGTGAATGCAACTATTTTGTGGCTTCAATAGGTCGATTGATTGTAATTTTTAGTTCGAGGATAGCAAAGCTATTGATTACCATAAAATATTCTGGTGTAAGATAGTCATAAAAGACTCATTAGAACTTTTATAAAATCCAATGTCATTGTAAGACTGGCTCGAGTTCGTAGTCTTATAAGGGATTTGTCTGGATCATTCTATAGCAGTATAGCGCATAGTACTGTATTTGCTTGTTTGTATTTTATTTCCAGAATGTTATCAAAATAAAAGAGACTTTTAGATGTATTTCGAAACAGTTCAACAACAACAGGTCAAAAAGACAATACACCATCACAAAATACTACATAGATAAATGTTTGGTAGAACTGAACCGCTAGAATCAAATGAATGTAGCATTTGTGGTATGAACTGCTTCTGGACGGGCGGTAAAATAGTCATTGATATTCAATGAACCATTAGAGGACGTAATTAAATGCCATCATCTGACAGTTGTTTTGAGTTTAGTGGCAGCAATGAGTCATTATTACTTAGCAAGAAAAATCTGTTTTGAAAGATAACAAATCTGTTTTAGACAAACAGCTCCAAGTCAGGTATTCTCGATACCTACAAAATGTTGCCCTCAGTAGGATGTATTATTCTTTATAAAAAATAATTTGTTTTTACTTCCTTTCTTACCAGAAATGTCGATAGGGAAGTTGTTATCATATATTCAACCTGTGTATATGTCTGCAGAAAAGTAGCTAGGTTAATGTTCAGCAGGAAACAAATAGACACCTAAAAGAGACCCGTAAATTAGATATATTTATGTCGAATGATTGATATGGATGAACATAAAGTGGAACAGCTGAACATACCTCAAGTAAATTGTGTTTTAATGATTTAATTGCTACCCACTAAAATGTATTCGATGCAGTCGAACCTTTTGGTGAAGATGAGACCTTACACAATCAACATAAAAATAAAATGTCCTCATTTTATTAGGACCTTTTAAACCTATTCCTATTTCGACGTGATAAAGTTTTATATCCTTTTATGAGTTGGTGACGATAGGTATTTAAATTAAAACACGGTTGGGCCAACAGTGATAACACCAGAACATTGTGCTAGCCTTGTATGATTATAATATATATAATATTATCTATAGGCATCGCATTCGGGCAAAACCGATTCTGTGAATCCCGTTAAAAAAGAAATCACCAAGTATGTCTTTGCAAGAAATCGGAAAAAGGTGATCGATTTAAATATACATATCTTCGGGGATACGAATGTTGTTGAGAATTATAATGTGTTGTTTTTATTATTTAGTCAATGCCATGTCTTCGCTTATTCATTGAAACAAATGTAAATCGAATGTTATTTAAGTAACCTATAGTTAAAGTAGACCTACTTATGCAAAATGATATACTGGAGGCTGGTATAGTCTTTGAAAAATAAAATATAATATTTTATTAAATTAAATAAAATATTTTTCGTTCTCATTACATGGTCAACATTGAAAATTTGTTGGAATCCAATCTCAATTTTTAAAATGAATAACTAGGCTCTCAGATTTAATGCAGATATGTTTACAAATGTTATAATTTTTCTAATCATCAACATTGATTTTTTATCAGGCAGCAGCAGGTCACTACTCACATAGGTGAGTATTTTTAATAGATTCTAAATGTCGTTGAACCAGTCAGTAACAACCTTAGCAGAGTAAACAATCGCGCTTTTTTTAAAGAAGATTGTTTTTGTCACATTGAATAAGGGTTTTAGAAGTTTTATATAATATTATGTAAAATTAGAAAATGTTTATCGCGAATCCAACATCTTAAAATGACTTCCAAATGGGCGTATAATATTTTGAGGAACAAAAACAGAAAAAACGCAATTAAAGTGCAAAACGTGGGAACTATAAAACTTCCGAAATAATTTAAGGGGTACCATACTTTCGAACTGAACAAATCATTCAGCATGCGGTCACTAATACCTGATAAAACATTGAAAGCATGTAGTAAACGAAATAATAAGTTTAATGTCAGCATAAAATCCAACCTAATGAAACAAAACCTGATATAATTAACCTTTTAGAAAACGACTTAGGTCACATATTACACCTCCAATACTGCCGCTTCCAGTGAAGCGAAGTTATACTTCTTCAAGAAAAATACATTCTCGTGGTGGGAGACTGAAACTATGCGGATGTTACGTCGTAATACCAGAAGATGCATTGACGCGAGAAGTGGAAATAACATTAGAAGTAAAGTTCATGAACTGGGGGCAGGTCGGTCAATTGTTCAATAATGGAGTCAGGGAAAATTCCTGCACCTAGTGCCGGAGCTCATTTGGACACTAAAGTATATTTTTCGCCCTTTACATCATTGTAACTAATCTATAAATATACCAAGAAATTAACGCTCAAATATACAAGGTGGTCAAATGACTACTGTCAATGTCCCTCGGCACGAAATTACATTATAAACAAACGATAACCATTTCCTGTCAATGCGCCGACATTTTTATTTTTTATTATATAAATAGATTTAAATACGCTTTGTGAAATTATTCTGGTGTGGTTGGCTTTTTTTCATTCAAGGCCCATATTCGTGTATCATAATATACACAATTGCCTTATTTTAGGTAGCAACTTCCATATTTGATTTCCATGAATCTGTAAAGCTAAGAGAAATATCGGCCAATCGGTGTGTAAGGTGACGTGGTAGCGCAATAAAGACAGAACTAGCGAAATAATATTATTGTGATCCGTGAATATTGAACATGAATTCGACAAATGATATAAATTTCTAGCACTCTAAGCAATATAGGAAGCTTATATACGAGTACTCCAATTGTCATGTTTCCGAATGGTGCAAAACGAAAGCAACAAAATTGAAAAAAAATATTTCCTCAACATTTGTGAAAGTTGGTATTGTTGTTGTGCACATAGGCTGGACTGTGAGATAAATAAAATTTTAAACATTATCCACCTCATCACCAAATTTTCCATTTAGGGTGTAATATTGAAATTTTCCAGTGTAGCCTACTTATTGAAATTTCTCAAAACCTCCAATTTGTCAAATTCATGAAGACAAAATTATAAAATCTTTACTTTCTGAAATATATAAACGCTTCTTTGAATTTATTTCTCCCATTATACTCAAAGAATATAAGAAACGAATTGATGTTATTTGGACCAGAAATTGTTCTCGGTCCTCCTGGAACAACATTTCGCAAACCAGTTGTGATTACCATTACTTCATGCTATCACAAGATACAAGAATGTGACCATCCTCCAGTGAAGGTAAGTATTAAAAATATATTATTTATCTGAACAAATTATGAAATAACTACTACATTAAAAAAATCTCGTCTTATGACAATTGATACGTGAGTTATGGACCATGTTAAGGGTTAAGTACAGCCGTAAAATCGAATTCCAAAATACAAATCCGTAGAAAAATGCATGATACCAGTCAATTTTACTGAGAACCCTTCCGTTACTTTGAAAATTTGATTGACTCACAGGTAGAAACTGGACAATTTTGGGATTTGCATGAAGAAACGACACTTGGAGAAAATGGGGAGTTCACGTTTTCAGTTATGCATTTTTCACCGTAAGTTGGCTGCATTTATCTCATAAACATAAGCAAACTGTTTCACATTGACAGGTAAATCGAGTACCAGCGTTGTAGTGTAAGTTCCACCATGCATAGATACATAGTTTCAATTTCTTCCTTTTAATCTTTATATTCACTGATTTCTCATTTATTTATACTTTGATAATATCCTGTTTAGATATCGGTTTCTGCTTCGTTTACTTGGCGTTGAGAAAAGCATTGTTCACATGAGTTTTACTCGACAAATCGGTGATGAGAACGAATATGAAATGATTTGGTGCTTCTGTGACAATCTCAGAGAAGCTAAGTTGGAAGTTCAGAAGGAAATGGCGATACAGGATTTCAAACTGACAAAGTCAACCGAGACTTTTGTCATAAGGTAAGTCTCCAAAGGATAAATTTTGACATATTTCTGGATTGTTAAAAATTCTAAACTGCTTTATTGTAGGGCAAAATTGCTATTGTTGATCTTTAAATTTTTTCAACCTTCAAAAATTGTTCAGTGCATTTTGCAACATTTGTTACTTATCTGGTTAGTAAAAAATCAATACTTTAGTTATATGGGTTTTAAACTGATTTATCACCCCCGTCTGTACAAGACACAGAATGAGATGATTTGACGCAGATAGAACTACAAACTTCTTGGCGTACGGCATATTTCCTTTACGCTTCAACCTTTTAGGGTCAATACATTTTTATTTTAATTTTGCGACTACTTCAACATTATAAAGAAGTATGACAGATATCCGGAATCTACCTCTAATACAGGACATTAGAAACATTAGAATATCGCGACAAATTTCAATCAAAATCTATGAAACTATTTAAACCATCAGCACAACTACTATTTTTTTATAACAGGTGCGATGAAAACATCAGAGTTTCGTTAGAAATAGCTGACTCTCCAGTTCAACCTGGATCCAAGATAATTTCGGTCAACGATCTATGGTTTTCCGACTCGGTGGTCAAAGTCGAATTCACCATTGGAAATCTACGTGCTCGGAGTCGAATCAACTACAAGATCGACATGATGAAAACAGGTCAAGATGAAGTTCATTCAAGCAAGACAAACACATTCACCTTTCTCCCGGATACAGGAAATATGGATCGAGGTGCGCAAGGTGGCGCTACTGTGCTTCATCAACCCGTTATCGACACGATGCTATTCCCGTAATGTTCGGTTTCACTACACTACAATGTTCAATTCTAATTTGACTGGAATAGTCTGAAATCTGATATTTTGAAAACATTCGAAAAAAGTTTCATATCGTACTGCTTCACTTTTGGTTGAGTCAGCTTTTTTAAAATTACGCCATCCCATGGATTTTCCTCGAAATTCTGTCGCGCAAATGCTGTTTTCATTGACCATTCAATCTTTGTAAAATGTATTTGATTACTGTTTCTTTATTATATTAGATTTTGTAGTTGTACATTTTTTCATATACATTTAGTATAAAAATAAAATAAACGCTTCTAACGGAAAGATAGATACTTTGTTGGTTTAAAACAAGAAATAGACAAAATTGAAAACAACTCTATCACCACCTGAAACTTAAAAATTGATCGAAATTTTTTTTAAGGTTTCCAAATATATATCGCTGCTTTCTACGGTGCCCACAATTACTAAAGTGTTGAACTTTCTGGAAAATTTGTAGAAATCTGATAAATATCAGTATACTCAATGAAAATATATAGACGTTTTGGGACCTTGTTACCAACGCCAGTGGCCTAGAGTTGATTGAGTTTTTCTCAAATCCAGATTGTCGTTCAACACGAGTGTATAGGGATCGTTCTGTAGTGTATATGTCTAAGAATACACAAAATCTCAATGTATGACAAACATGCTCCCACCAATAAGTTAGTTAATTGGAAGTATAGTAATTCAATCGAAAGTTAATGCTGAAGCAGGAATCGCATTTCCAGAAGTTGGCAAAGTATATTTACACAAGATCTAATACTTCCGGATTTTTCAAAAGCGTTATGATGATATTTATTATTATACGTCAAACAAAATTAACTTCGTTATTCATCGACCTTCTCAACATTAAATTATGAAGCGTATGTAATTCTCAGTACCACACTAACCGGCGCTCGCGTAGTGTGTGAACCAAGATGGCGGACACCTGAAGATAGTATGTGTACCAGGTTAAAGTTAGGCCATAATTTTATTTTAATTTTCCTAATTTTAGTTGTATTACGCGTTCTGGTACTAGCAAAGTGACTCCCGTAGTATTTCTACCAGAAATTGCGGCCCAACCCTAATTTGGTACACGTACTACGGTCCGATGTACGCCATCTTAGTTCACATACTTTGGGAGTTCCCACTAGTCTTATAAGTTTAACTTGCAATGACCAAAATTATACATTGAGAAGGGATAAAAATATGAATAAGTGTCTGAAAATTTGCGGTCATATAAAACGAGTTTATTTCCACCATTAGATTCATCCATTACTACATTAACTAGGGCGGGAGAACTAGCGCTAGATAATTGAGATTTTAATTTTAGTCATTACTGAAGTTGGTCGGGTATTTCTAGGTATGATGCTGAATGTCGAGTAGATACAATACGAGATCTGATCGTTTTTAATATATGCTGCTCATCATATACTAATGGTTCAAGCACAGGAGATTACTATAGGCATCGTAAAAAATGAACTTTTAAAAGCGCCATGTGTTTATACCTCACAAACCTGTAGTATGTTCAGCAGTGTGAATTTTTTAAGAAAAGTTTTCTTACCTGGGTTCGAAGAATCACCACATGATGGAGTCATGAGCTACAATGTTTTTGAAAATGGAATCTTGCTTTTGCGAAAACAATTTTTTACACTTTAATGATCTAATTATGATACAGATGAAATAGCAGTAGTGAACCTTCGCAATGACAGTTATTTCCAATCCGTATAAGTCAAATTGAAACCGTGAGCGATTTTATTCCCTAAATAAAATTAAGCTTCATCATGAAATAGGTTCAGGATAAATAAAAATATCTAAATTCACCTATACAAATATACAGTACAATTCTTGAAAATAACTGACTATAATCATTATTTATTCAACTGATTGACGCTATTTTAGACTTCAAGAGATAATATATTATCGCACGATAGACTATTTTATGAGTGATCAAAGGATATTAAATAATTTCATCTTGATTTAGATATAATTGAAAGATATTCGGTTATAATAATATTTTAAAAATAATAATATCCGCATTTGCATCTTTTTTCTAAATCTAAGAAATTTATATTGGGAATAAAACAAATCTAAAATAAACAACGGTAATTGTTAATACATGCGTCGATTTTGTCAAATTGCTATCAAAAGTATGCAGATTAGTGTTTTTCTTAAACAAATAATAAAAAATTAATATTACAAAGTATGAGATTATATATTTCACTGCTGAATAATATACACATCTCTTTACATATGTTTTCATTACTCAAAGTCACGCTGTTACTTAAGTTATACTGGAGGTCAAATTAGAGAGAGAAGTTAATAGTTGATCGTTTTAATCATAAGGAAATAATCACAACATAAAGAGACATATGGTAGGTACTAATTTTTTTTTTTTTCAGTTTAGTTAGAGTAACTTGTTGGAAAATAAATTATTTCGTAATAATTGGAGGTAATGGATCAAACGTATTTATCAACACTAGATGACACTGAAAAAAAAAAAAGGGGGCCCAAAATAAAAAGAGGACTGTTTTCCATAAAAATTCGTGGGGTCGTCGTTTATTCGTAAATCGAAACTTAATAGGACGAGTTCATCATGTAGTTAATAGATAAATTTGTCACTTAAAATCATTTTTATACTTGTCAGTTTTATGTATCAAATCTATTTCTGAAGAGGAATCAGATTTTGATTTGGATCATTCTAAATGCTCACCAGATTCTGTAAATTTGTTTGAAACGCTACATTTTCTGTATGTGCATTTCTCAATGAATCAAAACCGAAATTCAGTCGAGAATTAGCAACAAATATTTCCCAAATGATTAGAAAATCACTAATCGTCAATACTTAAAGGGCACACGTGACTCTTCTTACATAAAATTGAGACCAGCGATTGAAAATGAACACCAGAGAAAAATTCACTATTGCGCAAGATAAACTTCTACATTACAAAATCTGTCAATGATCTATAATTGACTGCGTGATCTTCTCCACGCAGATTATATCTTTTAATTAAATAGGGATGAGAAATGATATGAAACGCCCACTGATATTAGCGAATGGGAATGAAGCTTTTAAATTTGTCATCAAATGTTGAATCCAAAACTAAAAACTTGTACCAGATGTATTGTACCAGACAAGAACAGTGGATAAATCGATATAATACGGTGCAAAAAAAATCTAAAAGATCTAACATAAATTGTAAATCACTTATCTGACTAGACTTGATGCGTAATCGATTCGGACTCCCAAGGTATTGAACTTCTGACATTAGAAACGTGATTTTTTTATTAATTTACCGTTTTTCCTACCATACATTCGCCGGGGCTGAAGGATCTACAGTTTTGATTATTGGCGATGGGCTCCGAATGCATTTAAAAAACGACTCTCAATAATATTTTACTGTACGCACACTTTCCAAAATTCAATACACTGGTAATCGCCATTGATCATAGCGAAAACAAATTGAAATGGCTCATATCGAGTTAATATAATATAAAGAATTACACTAGTGGTTCTCAAGCGATGGGGCACGCCACACGAGGGGGGAGTAGACAATTTTTGAGGGGGCATGAAGCTGATTGAAAAAAAAAATATTTGTTAGATTTGATCTTGCCTGCCTTGTTTTGGATACTTACATTCCTTATTTCATATATTTACGTTCCAGCCACGTATTTTCAACGTTTTTTGTTTAATAAAACATACTTTTGCCTCACTATCTGTTATTTGTAGCTTATTGTTATAGTTAGCTTGTTATTTTTAAGTTGGGTCGAAAATTATAAAAAGGGGCGCGGCTTGGAAAGTTTGAAAATCACTGTATTAAAGGATTCATATTTCGGTTCTCTTTGTGTCTTATGAAGTCGCAAAAGAATATGCTAACTGGACATCGCTTTGGGGAGATTGGGAGACATAATTTATATAAGTAAGTAAGAAAAACAATAGTTCAAATCATTAATATTTTTATGGTTGGAATTGACTATTACTCAAACAATAGTGTAAAATAGTCGCAAATAGAGTTTGGGTACTTTATTTTTAATATAATTTGACTGTGATTAGTGTAAAATAGCCGCAAATAGAGTTTGGGTACTTTATTTTTAATATAATTTGACTGTGATTAGTGTAAAATAGCCGCAAATAGAGTTAGGGTACTTGTTTCAAACTTGTTGGCTTTTTTGATGGATTGGGGGTCGAGAGTATAGTTGGTCTTGATTAGGGGTGGGCAACTTCTCTAGTCGGCGGGTCAGATGTGGGGAAATAAAGTACTCGGCAGGCCGGATGATTACAAAAAACTCTTCGATATCTTTATTAGATGCTCATGGTGATGCTCGGGAATATTATACTGTCTATCTTGATACATTCTGATTTAAACAAAGAAATATTCATAACCTTTTATTTGGATGGATTTGGATTAATCAAGAAAAGCATGCAGAGCGGAAAAAGCACGCATGCTGATTTCCAGGTTTCTGAATCTTGCGAGATTTGACGGAGCGCTTTCACGATGAATCGGAACCGAAAAAGCGAAAAGTGATTACTCAGCGCCAAGACGTCGTCGGACCATTAATACCGCACTTATCAAACACCAATATGACGGCGGAGGAGAAATTGCGTAATAAACCAACATAACTTTGACCTATTAATCAAGAAAAGCATGCAGAACGGTAAAAGCACGCATGCTGATTTCCAGGCTTCTGAATCTTGGGGAATTTGATGGAGCGCTTTCGCGATGAACTGAAAAGTATGATTACTCGGCGCCAAGACGTCGACGGGCCATCCCGCACGTATCCAACAGCAATATGACGGCGGAAGAGAAATTGCGTAATAAACCAACGTGTAACTTAGTCTTTTCGGCTTCGGTAAAGCGATTGAGACGGTAGAAAAACAACAAAATGAAATTGTCCGCGGACCGACAAAAAAGCCTCGCGGACCGGCACCGGTCCACGGACCGACGGTTGGGAACCACTGATCTAAAGCATATAGAACTTTTATTGTGTAAATGAGTTCTCAATAAAACATGCCCTCCCCCAATAGTTTACTGAGATTACATCAAATTTTTAAAAGTATTATTTGACAGACCAACTTTTCTAATAGTCATCTTCAGTGTGAAACTTATCACTTCAGAAAATAGGGTGGAAGTTGACCTCGATGACCTCATGGTCGTATCGCTCCCTCCTGTCAATACCGAAGCAATTTTATTTGTGTTATTTATTTTTTTCGTATTGATGACTGTTTGTTTTCGGTTGACAAAATGATAAATCTGTTTATGTGGATATGGATTATGTTTATGGAATGTTTACAACGCTTTCTGCTTTGACCTTAT